CGAGTCGGCGTCCAGCAGCAACCTGTCGCTGGCCAAGCCCAGACCCAACAGCGAGCTCAACGGCCAGTCGCCCTCGCACCTCAAAGTCCAGAGGAGCGTGTCGTCCAACCACAAGCAGCGACGCTACAGCGAGCAAGGTCGGCGGCGCTCCAAATTTCTCCTCCCGCCACTTCGGAGAAGTCTTGCATAAGGCCGGACCGATTATTTGATTGGCCGTCCGCCATCGGCGCCTTTCAAAGCAATCGTCGATGCCTTGGATTGTTGCCAATTCAAATCCAGGTTGACCTTCTGAGGCAGCAGTAAACGCTGCCCGCTCTGGGAATCGCTCCTCACCGTGTCCACTAGGTGGAGCTCTGACGCCATCCGATTGAATGCGCATCTTTCTAGTGTGCAAAATCTGCACAAGTGTAGTCGATATCGTTGAGATTTCACCGTCGTTTTGTTCCCGTTGACGCTCGCTTGAACAAACAAATATCGTTGACTGACTTCAAAACTAGCAATGTTTTTTTTGCCAAATCTCTCAAAGCCACGTGCGCTCCTTTCCCTCTCCAGTCGGCCAGAACGCAAGCGCCGGCACGGCCCACCCCAAGCGCAGCCAGACGGCCGCCGTCGACAACGGGAAGGACGACGGCGGGGTCCAGCTGCGCAAATCGGGAGCCCCGGGGAGCCGCGGCGCGGCGCCGCCCGCCAGCCCGCTGCTGGGCAACGCCAACAACCCCAACAAGGCCGACATCCCCGATCGCAGGAAAGCCGGCGCCGCCGCACAGGCCGTGAGTGGACGCTCGAGCCGACGCGACTCTTCCGATCGCCTTGAATTGAGAACGGCCAACAATTGACCGAAATGAAAAATCTGTCACGGTCGAATCACGCGAGCTTGCGCGGGTGTCCCTTAAGAAGGCGTCCGTCGAGCGACCCGGAGGCCGATCGCAAACTCCCGAAGGTTGACATCCTCGCTCTCGTGTCTCGCGTTTCCCCAGCAGAACATCACGGCGTCGGCGGGGATGACCCGCCGCAACACGTACGTGTGCAGCGACCGCAACAACGCCGACCGGCTCTCCGTCATTCCCAACGGCAAGGAGAACAGGTGAGAGCGCCGTTGTGGTTCTTCTCTCCTCCCCCCCGAGTGTTAGAATTTCTGTTCTCTCTTTCTTTCTACGCCGTCTGCTCGCGTTGTGCTGTCTTCTCACGATCATGTTTGATTTCTGCCCGTGTCGTCGGGGGGGTTGCCGTGGGTGGGGGGGTTGCGGGCGGTCAGCACGAGCTCCGTGGCCAACGCCGCCAGCGCCTCGCCCTCCCTGAGGTGCCCGGCGGTCGGCCACTTGTACGCTTGCCAGACGGGCTGGGCCACGCTGCCGCACTCCTACTACGCGCTGGACTACTGCTCGGCCAAGTAAGACGACTGGGGAGTGGTGACCTCCCACCCCTCCCTCGCCCGTGCATCAATCTCCTGGTGTCTGCGCCCGCCGTTCGCCCCCAAGCCAACCCGCACGTCGAGTCGCTCCGAGCGACCGATTCCTTTCCCCGCCGCCCGCTCGCGTTGTCACCGCGCCGATACGTCAATATAGAATTTGGGGGGCGGGGGGAGAAAGTCGGCATTTTTGGAAATTTTCGAGAAGATTGAAGTTCGTTTTTTAGTAAGTGATGTCAGATGAGGGGAAAAAATGTGAATGGATTCTCAAGAAAGAAATTCTGACAAATTTAGACGAGTAATTTGGCATGGGGCAATTTTATGCGTGTTTTTGAATTTTGATTGAGAAAAAAAAAAAGACCAAACTTCATATAACAAAATTGTCAAAGAAAGTTGAGACTTGAGCCTTTTTTGGGGGGGTTGGGGTGAAAAATTTAGCCCAGGGGGGAAAAAAAAACTTGCGAATTTTACGCCAGCCGATTGTAATTTTACTTAAATTTGAAAGGGGCCTTCGAATGAGTCTTAAGGTAAATTTTTAAAAAATGCGGGATTATTTTCAGGATGGCGCAGATTTTGGTGTTGAACATTGGAAATGTCAAAAAATAAATCAAGCCCCGCCTCCTCTTCTGATTGGCTGCTTGGATCGCATTGACACTGGAACGGTCAGCCACATGACACGGCATCAAGTGTTGAAACACGTTTCATGTTCGACCAGTATTTTTCTTTTTTTTTGACTTCCTTCTTCCCCTGATCTTTCCTTCATTCTTCCTCGCCTTTGCTCTTTGACCGTGTTTCTTTCCTAACGTTTGAGTGGAGAGAAAGTGACAACTTTTCCTCAGAGCATGATCAACCAATTTTGGAGCAAAAGGCTCATTTGGCTCGTGTATTTTTGGGCCACGACATAGGACATGGGTTTGAAAATGCCGTCTGACCTTGCGCCCGCGTGTGTCCCCCCCC